TCAAAAAATCAATGCATAAAACTACTGTTAAAAACTAATTAATGATGATGTTGACAAATATGAATAAGAAAAAGTCAAAATAAATCTGAGTTTAAACTGTGCAGATTTAACCATATGTATGCGTATTAAATAAGTTAGTTACATAATTTATTCCTATTTAGTAGTTTAAAACTAAAGCTTATGAGAATTAGCAGCAATAATCAGAAAATCTTAAGCAAGCGAAGTTTATAGTAACTACAAGTTTAATCATCAGACATAATTAAACAAATAGACATTAGTATTGATAAAAACAATCTAATTATAGATTAAAAATTAATTTCAGAACAACGTATGCCTTTCCATACTTAAAGAAAAAAATTAGATGTAGGTCAAGAATATGTAACAAATTCTAAATAAAATAAGACATTATTATAAACATGAAACAAGAGTTAAAAATATTGACGCTTAAAGCAAATATTGACGCTAATAGCACATAATGCACTTAACTCGTAAAATCTACTGATACCCCGTATAAAGAAAACTACTTAAATTAGGAATAAGTCCCTTAAAAGTACTATATAAATTTATTTATTTCAATAATGAACTAAAAATCTTGCCGTCTTAAATTCACATAGGAAATGCCATTGAAATGGTTCGTTCGAAAAAATGTTTGGCACGAGTTTGAAAGGAGGCGGGATTTGACGTCATGAAATACGTCATCACTGTCCCTGTCTATACGGTAAACTTTACCAAGTTTATGGCTCTACGGGAACCCCAAAAAACTCAGTAATTTTTACCTAAGAGCTAAGGTAATGAACTTGGTAAAATTAAAATTGATGAAAAAAATTAAATTATGAATAAAATTGAAATTATAGGGAAATATAGTTTTATAATATGCAGTAAATTTTGATAAGCATGGTATCGTAGAGCATGGCATGAAAACCATTTATTTGGTTGACTCTACTTTACATTATTCAGTTTGTTAATAAGAGCTGAAATTTTAAAAACCAAAATTTCCGGTAAACCTTTACCATAAGAACTGAAAAATGACCAAATGAATGACTTAAATACCGTATATTTTGATTTTATTTACCAGAATTATGGTGCTTTTTTTTACCATGAACAGACATCATTACCGTATAGTATGGTAATTTTACCAGAGTTTTTTTTTCTCTATGTACATAAAAACTAAATTCAAAAAAGCAAATATTAATTTATACTTTTCAACTGTATCCAAAATCATAGTTTATGACATATTCTTAAAAATAATATTTTATTAACTATAATGTTTCATTAATAAGTTGTTAATAAAAATAATATTAATAAATTATAATTTAATTAATAAAAATCATATTTTATTAATGTATTAATATTTTATTCAAAAATTATATTATATTAATTATATAGTTTCATTCTTTATACAATCCTTACAAAGAAATCCATAACTACTCTAAACGTAAATCAAAGAGAATGATTTATTTTAAGCAGTTGAAAGTACAAACTGTAAGCAAAATTTACATGAAATCTAATTTTTATCATTCATTATTATATAAATATCACGAATCTGTTCTTCCCTTGCTACATTTCATTAAAAGATATATAAATCTCATTTTTCTAAATCTTATTTCTATGCAAGAATCCTGATAATTAGACAAAAGATGAAAACGGAAGTATTTCTAATTTAATGACAACTTTCTAACAAAATGAAATTTAATTATTATCGGCAAAACTAATTACTTAATCTTGAGTGACAGTTAATTATATGAAATTATGAGAAGCGATCAGTTTCAAAATCAGAAAAATCTATACTAATGAAGTTCGGAATGCTCACGAAAAAATTGCACTTTAACAGAAAAAGAACAGGCTTTACGAGTTTGTTTGTTTTAAATAAATTTTGATAAATAAAAGTTTTTAAAATCTTTCATGCTTAGATACGAATAAAAAAAACTGTTAAATACAAGTTAGTTTTACATTAGCTTTGAGTAATAAAAGTTTCAAAAATAAATAATACTTCACACTGTTAGATACGAGTTGTTGGTTTTTCATACGTTTTCAGTTTTTAGAATAAGTAATACTTCACACTTAAATACTATAAAGTAATGTGCGAAGTATAAAGTAATGCGAATAAAATACTATTAAGTAAGGATTAAGGATTTTTTTTTTTTTTTATATTCTAAAATCGAATGTCTAATGATTTTATAGTAATAAATGTGTGGTGAACACCTTATGAAGCTACTTAGTTTTTTGCAACCAGGTAACTACTTTAGCCGAAAGAGATAATCTGTCAATATCAAGACCATGGGTGAAAGCCCTTATATAGCAAGACGGAAAAGAGAAAATCCTGGTAAGTAAAACATTTCATTCTGGCATTTTTTTCGAAAAAAATGAAATATCTGTAACTATCAAGATTTCTTTTATAATTCTGGCATACATATAAAACTGCTTCTTTTCCAAGATAAAGTAGATATTGTTGAAAAACTTAGAAAAAGAATAAGTAAACTCCTCCCCAAAACTAGCTATAACTGAAATGGTTTTATTACCAGTCTTACCTCTTTTCCGTCTCGCTTTCACCCCTGATCAAGACCGCCTCAATGAGGGTTCGAATCCCACGTTTGATCCCACAATATAACCCTTATTCGTTCAACAGATGAAGAGTTTTCAGTGACCAACACTTTTCAATTAGTGATCCTGGACTATTAAAACCGGAATTTCCCATTCACAAATAGATGACAGCACTACAAAGCTCCCAACACAAAAAAGGCAAATACTTTTCCTCTCTCACAATAGATGACACTATAAATAAACTAATTAAACCCAACTCGTTGATTCACTTGAGAAAACACAACTCAACCACAACCTAATTATAATGTCCATTACCTAATCTAACCTAACTCTAATGTCTAATTAAATTTCCTTTTCAGGGTTTTGAAACCATTTTAGTAGAAAATGGTGGCAAAACCTTATAGTTTTATATTCACGGTTTGTTAACTATACCACTTACAAACGGTTTCAAATCCGCAAAGGTGAAGAATGTACAGACTCCTTGGATGGACAGATTGCTGCCAGATATTTTATCGTAATTTTTTAAACAAAATTTTAGCAATGCAGAGTTTCTTAATGCTCATTTTTGTGTAGAATTTATTTGATTTTGAAACTAAACGCTTGAGATATTAGTTAGCACTTATCATTAAATACGACGTTAGCGCTTCATTTAAGAAAACGAATTTGTAAAATATTTCAGATATTAAGCTTATCTGCTATATGTCACTAAATATATAAAATGTATCTAATTCTAAATTTATCAGAACGTTGCATTTCAAACTTGTTTATCTATGCCAAGAAATTTTGAAATGAATTTTAGAAGCATTTAATTTCACAGGTTAACAATAAGTTTAAAATGTCTTTAAAATAAATTTTGAGCTAGGAAGCTTAAAACTTTTGTTTCAACAACTGTTTTTTAAGATAAAAGCAATGTATACTGTTTTTTAAATAAAAACAGCAGAAATATTTTTTAAAACTCATATTTTGTTCTGTTTGAATTAAAAACGCCTTATCCCATAGTTTTCAGTTAATTTAAATCAAGATAACAGTGTTTATTATGCTCTCATTTTAAACGCCTTATCTAAAGAAAATCTGATAAGTCTAGATGAAAGATCCAATAAATAAACAGTGAAAAATAGCAACTACGCAATTACCAATGTATAAAAATAAGACAGAAACAATACATAATTACTGTTTGGTTCCAAAAGTCCATCATTTCAAGGAATATGAAGTGTGTTAGAATCTTTCAATTACAGAGTAACATAAAAAATATTTTTATAGATAAAAAAACTAAGTTACTTTTCTTAGTAGTTGTCGTTTCCGCTTTTTCCTGTGCAGTACCAATGCTAATCATACTTGCAACTGAATATATAAAATTTGTTTGCTTATATAAAATTAAACGTTTTGATGTATATATGCGTAACAATTTACAAAGAGAGGTAGAATTTTTTTTTATATTTTAAAGCTTCTTCCTAAAAATCTTAAGAAACTGAATACGTTAAGGGTTTATAATTGTCATAACTCTTTCTCCGCTAATGTACCCCGCTCATTACTATAGACATAAAATATACAAAAGATTTTTCAAATTTTACAAATGATTTTTCTGTGTTGAAAATTCAATTTTTATACTTTTCCCGTCAATTTCTTGGATAAGCTTGTTATTTCTTATGTAGACCTACAATTCATTGAATTATAGCACCAACTTTAGAGCAAAATTTTTAAAACAATTTATTTTACTTGATTGTTTTTTTTATAGAAAATAGTAAAGCATAGTGTAGCTGGGTGGCGCAGTTGGTTTGTTGTTGGCCTTCTAAGCCCAAGTTTGCGGGTTCGATCCCCGCCCAGACACCGGATTTTCGGGATGCAGAAAATACTCAACGGTCATGTCGTGTGATTATGCGGCATGTAAAAGATCCCTGAAGTACCTTATTGGCTCTTGGCATTTCCGGCAAAATTAAATTCCTAGTGCACTTTAGCATCCAAATAGAGTCTCGGTGCTGCCATCTAGTGTGGCAGAAACTAGACGTCCAAATTAACATGACCAACGGTATCTCACCCATTGTGGTGGTCTTGAAAGAGTGGATACCACCTCTGGAGAACGCACTAGGTCTGCTCATCGGCAAGACCGATTGTGCAGCTCATTGGAAATAAAAATAAAAAGAAGTGAAGCATAGCCCATTCACCGTAAGAAGACGATTGACTCTCAAATATGATCATTGGGCAATCATCATTAGCGATAACTATTTCTCCTCTTACCATAAACTTAACATCTTTTTACATAAACCACGTTTTAATTCACTGGAGAGTCGTACCACCATTTAGCCTTACATCGTCTTCTTACGGTGGATGAACTATATCTAAACATACATATTAGTGAGCATAAGTAAAATTGCAGACATAAATAGGTATTAATTTAAAATGCCTCGTGTTTTGTGGAAAGATGGTATAGCATATTAAGATCCGAATATGAATTTCCTTGAAATAAAATTTATTGATTAAAATATGATACATATTTATTCTTCATAATCATATTTATATTATAATAAAAATTTTTATGCAGAATAATCCTACATGTTCGCAGTAATCATCGTCGGAATAGTTTGTTTCCATCTAACCAAATTTTGTGGGAAAACCGCATGTATATCCTTTCTCTATCTGACATGGACAGCTCAGTTGCTTGACTGCTTCTGAATAGATACTCGCTTTGCACATCTGAAATAAAGGATCAAACTTAGAAAATTAGTGTTTAAGTGGTGTGAGACAAATACTTTTAGAGTTACTTAAAAAGTAACGAGGAAATAATCTAGCTAATAAAGTGACTTCAGAAAATACTAAGTAAGTAAATATTTTATTGAGGCCAAAAAAGTAACTAACAAAAGTGAAGCCAGAAAACACTATTAAAGACACTAAATAATGTGCTGCCAGAGAATAATAATAGAGTAATAATAATAGAGTAAAAACAATAGAGTAGTAATAAACTATCCTATAAAATTGTTACTTTTAAAGTGATGTCGAACAAAAAGTTTTAGAGTTACTTAAAAAATAACCAGAAAACAATCTAGCTCTTAAAGTGACTTCAGAAAATACTAAGTAAGTAAATATTTTATTGAAGTCAAGAAAGTAACTAACAAAAGTAAAGCCAGAAAACACTATTAAAGACACTAAATAATGTGCTGCCAGAGAATAATAAGAGAGTAATAATAATAGAGTAAAAACAATAGAGTAGTAATAAACTATCCTACAAAATTGTTATTTTTAAAGTGATGTCGGACAAAAAGTTTTAGAGTTACTTAAAAAGTAACCAGAAAACAATCTAGCTAATAAAGTCACTTCTGATAATACTAATTTATTAAATACTTTATTAAGGCCGAAAAAGTAAGTAATAAAATAATTCAATGAACAAGTAAGTAATAAGTAGTAAAGTGAGTTGTGGTAGCTCAGAGGATAGAACGTTCACTTTCCAGAGAGGAGACCCGGGTTCGAATCCCAGCGATGGCCGTTTAATACGAATTCCGAACCCGCCTCTCATCGACCAAAGTACGGACGTAAAATATCCTCAGTGATAATCAGATCATGTGTTAGAGTCCGCTAGTCGTCAGACTAACCATGGGAGGTTTTCGAGGTATTCCTCTCCAAGTAACGCAAATGAGGGTTAGTTCCATCAAAAAGCAATCCACGAGGGAAAAATTCTCCCTATACTTGATCAAGGTGTTCCCTTGTCTTCTGAATTAGGTTCAAAATTATAAACCTACGGAGTTGAACAGTAGTCGTAACCCAAAATTGGGTATACTGCTATTGTTCAAGTTAAGTAACTGTTAAGTAGCAGCAGTTTTTGATAGCAAAATCCAGAATTTGAACTAAATCTTCGAATATTTTAAGCAAAATTACAAATTAAAAAATTCTTAATGCTTATTTCTAACCTAATGGATCTTTTACAGAATTTAGTTTGCGCCAAATTTATTAATGTAAATTTGAACAAAAATGTATGATACAGAAACGCTAAAACTAACATAAACTTATTAGAAATTACGATAATCAATTTTAAAAAATACATGGTCTCATTATACATTAAATCTTATTACATATGACAAGTATGAAAATTAATTTGAGAATTTGACATTCACTTTTAGAATGAAATATAAAACAAACACTGATTAAATTTGAACTTAAAACATAAAAGAAAAATAACAAATCTTGCTATAATAGCCGTAGGTACAAATTTCCATAAGCTTAGAATTTATAAAATGGAAATTTTTATGAATATCTGCGGTAGTAATTAAAAATGTTTTGAGTTGCTTGGAAAATGTTTAAGTCTGCACTCAAAATACTAATTTTCGAACAATAGGAGTTTTAAACATTTCATTATTCATATTTCGCTTCCAAAGAAACTTTTACATTTACTTGACACAAAAGAAGAGAAAATAATGCCCGGTCAATTAGGAGAAAATAACGAAGAAAATATATTAAGTTTAATTCTTTAATTAAAATGAAGGAGTTAAACTGAAAATTTGGTGAAAGTGGAGAATTTATGTTTCGTTTTTATTGTCGTATGTTAATTACTAATTGAATTTCTAATAGAGAATGTATTTTATCAGTAAATATGAATTTAATAGAATTTATCAGAATTTTCTGGTAAGATAAAAGAGTTAATAAGATAAAAGGTTCTCTAAGTGTTACTCTAAAAGGTCAAAGTATGGCAAATTTTAGGTCTTACAGATAAAACTTTAGATTTACCAAAATGGCTTGGTATCTGTTAATTTTTACCTCAAAGTTTTGGTAAAAGGCTGAAATGGAATTACATTAAAGTATACTTCGGACTTTTGCCAAGCCTTTTTAGTAAAATCTCCACTTTCTCGGTAGAATCTAAAATTTACCAGACTTCGGGATTTTACCGAAACAACTATAAAAATCCGAAATCTCGAAAATTTCAGGTTTTACCAGTATAACCTAGGACTATAATTCTTAGGTCTTACCGAGAAGACTTATAGGCCGAAATGGAATTATATCGAAGCATATTTCGGATTTTTACCATGCGATTTTGAAAAAGGCTAAGTTTTACCAGTTGACTCTATAACTTACCAGACTTCAGATTTTTACTGTAACTTATGCATTAGATAAACAGATTAATTCTTAAATGCGGAAGAAGCAAGAAATCCGTAGAAATCTGTGGAATCACTTGCCAGGAAGATTAGGTGAGAAATATGAAAGCCAGTTTGATTGTGCGATGAAATTTAATTGTTTTCTTTAGAAATCTTTCAATTCCTCTCTGTCTCCTCCGGCAATCAAATAGGTCTTAATGTTTTAAGTTTCACCTTGTACTCTCATGTTTCGTTAGATTTCAATAGAGTTTCAGTTTTTGTCCCAGTTAAATATTAACGAATGCATACTGCGCTCCTTTATTTATTTTTTCCAGAGTTCTAAAACAAGATTAAGGGTGGTCATTGCGGAATACCTTTATAAACTGGTATTTTGATGTACTTGAAAAAAGCTATTGAAATTTAAGTAAAAAATTTCAAGCACCGTTGAAATATAAAAAAAAATGCAATTCAAAAATTAAAAAAATAAAACCCAACTTTTAAATTAAAAGAAAATTATCATTTAAGTTTATAAGAAAGGAAATATTTTTCATAAATGACAAAATAGAAGCTAGCATTTAAAAAATATCTTACTTAAGCTGTAATACTTACAAAATGATCATAAGGGTAAACATCCTCTTTGAGCTAAAATTTTTAAAAAAAATATTTTTTAATCGAAAATATAATAAATTTTATTTCAATCTTTATGATAGCATTATTAAAAAAGTATACTAGCACCTAAAGTCTTATTTTTAAAATATCGATATGATATAAGTTTAGGATGAATATCTTATTATTCACTAACATTATTGAACTTAACTCTCCAAGCATCAACAATTTATTGGAAGTCTTAAGACTTTCAGATTTATGATTATTTTAACTAAAAAATTATAAGGACACAATTGTTTGTGTCTAGAAAACTTATTTTGCGAATTTCAATCTTTCATAAAAAATTTCACTCCAGATTTCTTAAATTAAATTTTAATTTTTCCTTTTTCCAACTCTTTTTCCCATCTCGAAAATTCCTAATAAAATAAAGTTAAGAATAAATTAAAGAGCGCGGTTGAGTTGATGCTTTTTAGAAACAATATTTATAACTTTTGTCAGCTAGTGCTGCCATCTCTTTTCGAACTTGGTAATTAATTTTGAACCGTAAAAACGTAAACCTAAAAAAAACGCAGTAAACCGTACGTTTTTAGCTCCTTTTGCTTTCGTTTGATTGATTTTTCAAATCTTTGATAAATTTTTTGGAATGCTCGGTTAAGGCTTATATGCAAACAACGTAAAGAAAAAAGTCATTATAAACTTACAAAATAATTAAAAATATTTTTTCTTTAGTATTTAGAAATGTGCTGCGATCAAAATTATTTATCTTACTTATCTGTATAGTATGCATTCGGTGTTACTGTGCGCCAAAACTACCGGTAAGACAACATTTATTTGTATTAATATAAATCAAATCAAATATTTATAATGAAACTTAAAACTAAGTTCTGATTAAAACTTACTTCTTCAACTGTAGCATTCATTTTATCATTCCAGCATGTTATCAAATTCTTCGAAACCTTTAAAAATAAATGAATCCATATTGAACTACTACAAGTTTTACTTATGTTTGCTTAAATCATCAATTAATTTTATTATTAATCTTACGTATTTTGAAAGCCGAAAAAAAAAATTCTGCTACAATTACAGTATGTTAGAGACATTTCTGCCATTTTTTTTTTCTTTTTTTTTAAAAACAAATTGCATAATTCTAGTTGAAACTGAAATATATCGTATTCAAACCCAATCGCTTAGTAATTTCTCCGTTTTATATGGTAACGATTTGCCATAAATTAGGATTTTTAAAACTATGGAGCTTATTACCACACATTTAGAAAAAAAATACAAAACTGAGAAGTAAATTTAGCCGAATAAATGGTTTTTGACTAAAGTATCATGAAAAAAATACCATATTTACCAAATTTTATCACACATTAATTAACCATATTTTGTTGTCTATCTTACCGAAGTCATTAAGATAGTAATTCGTTAAAATTTATCGCATTTTTTGCTGATCCCATAGAGCCAGCAACACGGTAAATTTCACCATATTCCGGTATATTTGCCAACCTTTTTTTCTCAGTGTAGTAAAAAACATGCCTTCCTTTTTATCCAATGATAATTCCGGATAAACGGATTTATTCAATGATAATTTCGGATAAACAGATTTATCCAATAATAATTCCGGATTAAAAAAAAATTATTAATTATATTTTATTATTTGACTTACTAATGGTCTAAGAAATATTCAATTTTAATGTATGAAAATTTCACACCAATTTAATCAACACATTTTAAAATTTTAAAAACTAAATTTTAAAGGCAATTGGCCAAATGGAAGTTACTGAATAATACAGACTTCAGTGTTTTCTGAGAATATACCAAAACTAAATAAGTGCTGATTATAATTGGAGAAAAACTAGGATTGGTGAAAAATATGAAAACTTGAATTTTCGATAAATAAAGACGAATAAATTTTATTGAATTTTTCTTCGAGTCTCAACTATTTCGAAGTTTTTTGTAATCTTTTCTTTTGTGTGTAACCATATGTATCTTTTTTGTTTAAGTTAATTACATTTATCTGAAGGTTTCTATTCATATTTCAGTGTAGTTTTCTTTTCATAAAAACTAAGAACCTCTTCGTTAAAGAAATTTTAATTAGGAAACGAATTTTAAAAAATGCTACGAATTTCAATGAAATTTGCTTTGTAGTTAATTATATTCTATTAAATTAATTTAATTGAAAAAATCCAATTAATTTTCCTTTATCTGTTAGAAAATCTTAAACTCATTTCTAGAATTGAGTATAACAGGTCAATTTAGAATATTTTTAAATTTATACTATTTATGATTTATTTAAAAAGGCAACNAGAAATTTTAATTAGAAAACGAATTTAAAAAAGTGATACGAATTTCAATGAAATTTGCTTTGTAGTTAATTATATTCTATTAAATTAATTTAATTGAAAAAATCCAATTAATTTTCCTTTATCTGTTAGAAAATCTTAAACTCATTTCTAGAATTGAGTATAACAAGTCAATTTAGAATATTTTTAAATTTATACTATTTATGATTTATTTAAAAAGGCAACCTGTAATTCCATATTTTAATTAATTAAGTTCTATAATAAAACAAAATTCCTGAAAAAATTCTTGCTTTCCATAAATGGAATCTGTTCTGTTAGAAAATATTAAACTCATTTCTAGAATTGAGTATAACAAGTCAATTTAGAATATTTTTAAATTTATACTATTTATGATTTATTTAAAAAGGCAACCTGTAATTCCATATTTTAATTAATTAAGTTCTATAATAAAACAAAATTCCTGAAAATATTCTTGCTTTCCATAAATGGAAATTAGGGTTCATATATTCGAAAAATAAATAACTTTATTTTTCGAATATATCGAGAGAGAAAAGTATGGTCAAAATTATCAGAATATGGTAAAATTTACCGTGTTTCGGGCTTTATGGGAACGCCAAAAAAGCTGGGTATTTTTTTACCGAAGCGCTTTGATAATAATGTAGGTAAAACTGACCACAAAATATGGTTTTATAATATGGGAAAAAATTTGGTAACTGCGATAAAATTTGGAAATTTAATCATGAAGCATGGCATGAAAGCAATTCCTACGGTGAAGTTGACTTTTGAATTTTGTTTTGAATTTTTTTATTTTTAGTAAATGTGTGGTAAAAAGGACTATAATTTTGGAGACCAGAATTTCCAATAAACCATTACTATACGAACGGAAGAATTACCAAAAGATACTGAGTTATTATACGTCATGCAGGTGTTTCTAGGATATTTACCAGATTGTGGTTACCTTGCCTCCCTAAATTAATAGTTTGGAATCAAAATCCGTCGGGAAAAAAAGAACACAGAACACTTCCACACAGAATAAGTGTGTTTTCGTGTCTGATTTTACAACATAAGATATCGTTTGTGCTAATTTTTTATCATATTTCCGGTAAATCTCAACATCGTAAAAAAAATTCCAGATAAAATGATGGTAAAAAAAAGTTGCCAGGGTACTATTACTTTTTAGCAAATATTTCATTTTTACCGTAAAATGTTACGAAATAAAAAAGTTTATAAAGTTATAATAAAAAAGTTTTAGGTTTATAAAAGTTATAATACACTAATATTTCACTTATTTTCGGTAATTAAATAAATATTACTGTAAAAATTAAGGTATAAAATTTTGTTGTAAACATGAATTTTAATGTAAAACGTACCGGCACTCAAGGGGAGAATATTTTTCACCGTAATTTTATCTGGAATTTTTTCACAGTGCGGAGTCATTAAAAATGCATCTTAGTACGTAATAATCCGATCACTAAATCAAAAGTTATTTAACTGTTACGTAATTCATATTAAGCATTGCATATTCATTTAAAAAATATTTCTCGTTACCTCCATCACATTTGATTTGGAGCACAAATCTTTTAACAGAGTATTCCATTCTCCTGACGCATCCAATTCATTTTCAACACCACATTCGAAGAAAATTCTTTGTTCCTAAAATAAAACAAGATAATCACATATTTAAGATATTCTACTATTGAGATATCTTTTAACAATACAGAATCTATATATATATTTCTCTTACACAGCGACAAAAAAAGCCTCATGACGACTCCCCGAATGGCAACGCTAGAAAATCGACAAATGATTGCCGCTAAAAATGTCACATGCCAAATCTAGCTGAGGTAGCTCAACATATAGCGCTTTTAAAAACGGAAACTGAAATAACCAGAGAGAGCATTCTCACCAAATGTGATCTCTTCCGAAATTCACCCTATCAGCTGCGAACCTTTTTAAAGAGATATCAGTTTTAGAAATTTTATCTTAAGATTTTATACTATAGCACATTTCTAATAG